CGTGCCCGCATCGGCGGGAGCCGGGGACCTGCGGGGCTCACCCCGGGGCTCGGGCATCCCCCCCGACCCGGAGCTGCCCAGCCGCGGTCGTGCAAACATCCCAGACGCCAAAGCAACGCAGCATTCCCAGGAAGGGCTGAGGATTGAGTGTCTTTTCCAGGAAAAAGAGAGAAGAGGGGGGTGGGAAACCCTTCTGCACCACATTTGGGTTTGTTTGAGTAAGATTTTTAAGGCCCTATCTCATGCTCTGAGTCTCTCTGATTCCCAGCAAAAGCTACAGTCAAAACAGCACAAAGCTTAATATAATAACCCAGAGGTTTTTGCGACGTGGCCCAAAGCCCAGCCCAGTAATCCCAGCAGAACGGCTGCTGCTTGCATCCCATCCTCTCCCCCGACAGCGTGGGAGATGGACGACAGGCCGGCAGAGGCAGCGTCCCTCTGCCCTTCTCCCTCCGCGGAGGCCAGCAAAGGAGGAATAGGTGGTTTGGTGTTTACCCCTTTCTGCAGAATGGGAAGGCAGCAAACCGCGCTGGAGCTGCTCGCCCCGCGTGGCTGCGTGCGTGGCAGCCGTGCCTCCGTTTCCCCACCCGAAAAAACGAGCCTTATCTATGGCTGGGGGGGTGGGTGGAGGGCCTCGCTTTTGGAGGAGGTGAGGAGAAGGGAAGTGGGATCATGCCACCACCTTATCTGCAGTTATTCCTGGAATCTGATTACATGCTGTATATAATGAAAGCTGATTAAATGCCACCGTGCGATGGCGCCAGGTGCGTCCCGGGGTACGGAGCTGGCTGGGCTGGGTCACTCCATCACCTTAAACGCTCAATCTGCCACCCCCAGCCAATGACTGTGTCTTTATTTTGCCTTTTTTTTTTTTCCCACAGCTTCATATTTACTCCTGCCAAATCCCCCTGATCATTGCACGGGGAACCAAAACAAGCATATAAAAGCGTAAAGCATTAAGCCCTGTTGTTCCACACCCTTTAATTAATAACTTTCCTGGGAAGGTTGCTAGATCCAAGCCTTCATTGACAACATCTGGCTTGGCGAGGTGGTCCAGCCCTTGGTACTTTTGCTAGACCTCATCCCCACTCCACAGCATCTTCACGTTTTGGGGTTTTTTCTGTTGTTGTCCAGGCTTACGTCATCAGTAGCTGCTCACTCTGCTGCAGTCCAATACAGCCACACTGTTTAGAGAAAAAAAAAATCTTAGAAAGCCTGCCTGTCTCTGATCGAGCCAAGGAATTGCTGCCCGGGGGAGTTGGGATGGCTCGGAGAAACCCGTAACGTGCTGCAGCTATTTTAGCTCCTCTGCTCCCTGCTTGGGCCCAGCTCTGGCTGGAAGGATGGCGCCTCGATTTCTGGGTGACCGAACCCCCTTCCCTGCCCCATAAATAGCGATGATCAGTGGTGTAAAAGCATAAAGCCAAAAATGAAGCTACTTGTGTGATTTGGGAGAGATGTTGCAGGCAGGATGTGCTGCTGCCATGCTGCCCGTACAGCTCCTGGGCTGTTTTGGGGGTACTCTGTGGGGCTGGTGGTGACCAGGATGTGAGCGAGGTCAGGGTGGTGCCACCCATGTGTCAGCTGCTTCTCCATGGTGGGTTTTAGGGGATGTAGGCAGCGGGTTTGGGACCTGAGCGAGTAGTGATGTTCCTGGGAGGCCTCGGGGGGCGAGGCTGGGGCAGCGGTAAGGTCGCTGGCCTGGGGAGGGCGTGAGGCTTTGGCTTCATGCTGGTGTCCCCCAGCCAGAACCACCTAAGAGGTGGCCCTGGATGTCAGCCAAAGTCCCCCAGCTTTGCCTCTTCCCCCCATTTCTCTCTTGATGTGGTTCTGGAAGAGCTCCATCTCTTTCAAGGTCTGTTCACACCCTTGTCGTGTCTTCTGTTCCCCAGGTCCACTATCCCATGGAGAGCTGGTCACCCCCCACTGGCTCCTCAGGGACCGTAGCAGACGAGCTGTCAGCCTGGATGAAAAGGTGAGGATGGAGACAGCACCCCTCCCCTGCACCGCCCGGCTGAGTCCTGCATCCGGAGGGACTGCGGCGGGACTCGGGTGGAGGGACTCGGAGGGAGATGTCGAGTTGGCAGCTCCCACAAGCAGGATGTGGAGTTTGTAGGACCTGTCACCATTCAGGTGATGAACAGGGAAAGCAGAGGATGCAACAGTGAGTTAATTAGACGTTGTCTTAACTATTGGGCAGTAGGAAAGATGGCCAGGAGCTACAACAGGAGTGGAAGGGAGTGGGGCAGTTTGGAGAGAGGAGATGGAGGTAATCCATCAGACTGATGGTTTGGCCAGGGTAGACAGCCCAGCAGTATTATCAAAAGGGGAAGTGCTGCAGGATTTAAGAGGAATATCCTTGGGAAGACTGTGGAGAAGCTGGGCCCGGGCAGCGGAGAGGAGAGGACATCTCTTCCCAGGGCTGTCACACCCTCCCTGCCACCCCCACCGTCTCCAAATCCACGTTAGGAGATGCTTGTGGTGACCCTTGCCTGGGTTTGGCTCCTTGCCCAGTGGTGGGGTCACCCAGCTCTGCAGCTGCCCATTGGCTGAAGCAGCTGGTCCTCATACCCAGCAGCTGGTCGGGCCTCGGGGGTTACGGTCTCCTTGCCAGCACCGGTGGGTCTGGTGGGAATCATGCTTCCACGGTAGCTGGAAGAGCCCGTCACACTGGGGACGCTGTGGTCAGCCTGCAGAAATGTCCCCTCCCTTCCTAGCAGCCCTGGACTGGTCTATATTTAGGTTGGAGGGCACTTGGGACTGGAGGTTTATTTATACTCTTGCTAACACCCTGCCACCCAAAATCGTGCTGGGTGGGTGCAAATTCCAGGCACCCAGGGTGTTTTGGGAGTCGCCGGGTGACCCTAGGGCCAGTGGGGCTGGGACGGCCACCGGCCGGGGCCAGGGTGGCTGGGCAGGTCCTGGCGTGTTTCCTGGCATCTGCTCTGCCTTCGCTGGCTCCAGCCAGGCCAAAACAAGGAGGCTCCTGTTCCTCGGAGCAGGGGGAAGGACGAGGAGAGGGAGGGTGGTCGCAGCCAGGAGTGGGGGAAGGATGGTGGCAATGAGCGGGCTCCCTGCTTGTGCATATAACCCCAAACCGTCCCTTTTTTTACCCCTGTCCCACTGACGTGTATATTTTTAGGATGGCTTTAGTCCACCCCGTCTCCTCCTGCCCTCCAGCAAAGATCCTGGAAATAAATACGTCCGCCAGCCTGCGGATTGTCTGGGCACGGCTGGCTTTCAGGGCTGGAGTCCGGGAGGAGACAACATCTGAGCGTGTGAAATGAGGGGTTCACGCATGGTGCCTGCCCCGGGGCGCCTCTCTTTCTTCTCCTGGGGCTGCTCCTCTCTGCCGTGGGTGGGATGCTGCGGGTGGCCTGTACCAGAGTCCCTGGGGACTCCGCCGCGTCTCCTTTCCCTTCTCCTGAAGGAGAAAGGTCAAGCCAGTGGGAAGGAGGGGAGGATGCTGGTGGTGGCCCTGCGGTCCCGTTGTGTGCGGGCTAGCATGGCGCTGGGGAGGCTGGATCCTGCCTCCCCCCACACACCCTCCCCTCTCCTATTGTTCGGAGCTGAAGTCCCTGCGGGCTCGATGGCTCCTGGCACACATGGAAGCGATTTGGGAGAGGCCGGGGAGGAGGTCGTGGGGACCCTGATTGCAAACAGCTCCCTGGTTGCTGCCGGATTGGGATGGGATCCTGCCCCCCTGCTGCTGGCATCTGCCTCCTCCTGCTCCTTCCCCTGGCTTGGGGCACAGAGCAGAGGCTGCCAGAGCTGACCGTGAGCTTTTCCAGTTCTTTGGATCTGGAAAGGGAGGTTGTGCTCAGCATCCTGGCCCAGGTATCCCAATGGTATCCAGTTCCAAGGCACGGGAGTCCCCTGTCCCCGCCCTGGGGACCCAGCCAGCCTGTCGTGCTGCCTGCTGTGCCTGTGCCTCACTGCTTTCCCTTTCCAATGGCTTTTCCCAAGTGCGATTTCTCACTGCAATGGGTTTAAAGTGAAAGAGGAGAGATGTAGATTGGACATCAGGAAGGAATTTTTCTCGGAGAGGGTGGGGAGGCACTGGGACAGGTTGCCCAGAGAAGCTGTGGATGCCCCATCCCTGGAAGTGTCCAAGGCCAGGCTGGATGAGGCTGGGAGCAACCTGGTCTAGTGGAAGGTGTCCCTGCCCATGGCAGGGGGTGGGACTGAGTGTGCTTTAAGGTCCCTTCCCACCCAAACTTTTATTCCATAAATCACAAGGAATCAGGAGCACTCATGCAGAAGGGTCCCTCAACCTCCCTCTGGGTCTCTCCTGGCACCCTGTTTCCATATGGGAACACACCTTGACACAAATGGAGCATCTTTCCCCTCACTACTACTTTTCACACTGCAGGATCGTCTGCTGGGGCAACCACCGTCTCCCTGTCCTGGCAGTGGGACGTGGCTGTCCCCTTCAACCTTGCCAGGAAACGCTCAGAGCATCCCTGCCAGTTGCGTCAGGGTGTGATAGCCGGTGCCTCCCCCAGCCCTGCGGTGTGTGCCCCTCCCCGGCAGCGTGGTCTCTGTGCGGGGTCACAGCTCTGGGAGGAGGAGGAAGGGAAGGGAGAACTGCCTGTGGTTTCAGGCAGGCTGCAGGTGCTGAGGGCATGTGCTCTTCCAATCTGTTTCCTGCAAGGAAGCCCTTTTCTCTTGGCAACGCGTGGCAGGACAGAGCCAACCCTGACGTGGTCCCTTAGCCAAGTTTGCTTCAAAACAACCAAAATCCTGCCTCCATCTCCAGGGCCTGGATTGCCCTGCTTCCCCCAACTCCTCTGGAGCTTGCTGCCTCCAGGATGCTTTTCCAGTGGGCATCTGGAACAAGAGGCTTGTCCTTAAGCTCTTGGATCCCGATCTTAGTGGGCGTACAGGACAAGGCGATGCAGTCCCCACGCTGTGGCCTTCAAACCCGAACTGCTGCTCGGACCCAGCTGCCTGGAGAGGACCTGGCTTGGCCATGATGCTCCAGCTGCAAAACCCATCACTGAATCCCCTATGGAGCATCTCCCGGTAACTCTGAGCCCCATCTTCCTCGTTGTGTCCAGACTCGTATGCACGCACTTAGGAAATCAGGGCTTGTGGGACCTGCCTGAGCAGATGGCTGGGCTGGGATTTGAACATGGCTTTTGGATTTTGGCTTATCTAATGATTTCCCAAGGAGCTTGGAGCTCTCTGAGCCTGCTCCCAGGCTTCTGCAGGGCAGCGAGAGCTTTCGGGGGGCAGAGGAGGGAGCCGGGGTGAGGAGGATGGCCAGGAGCCATGGGGAAACAGATTGTCTTTCCCCTTGAAGTGTAACACAAACCCCTTGGCCTCAGCTCCTCGGCAAACATCGCTGCGGTTTCTCTGACCAGTGGACTGCAAAAGAAAAATAGTCTCGAGCTGGGCCCAGTCAGTCCTTGTGGGCTGGGTCCTGGCTAGGGAAGACTCATCCCAGCTGCTCTTCACCTCCCCCAGCCCAGCCCTGGTGGGACTGGCTTTGCTGGGATGTCCTGGAGAGGCTCCAGGTCCAGCCAGGGCCAAGGGAAGGGAGTTCCTGCAGCCTGTGGTGAGGACTAGTGGCTGCTGGGGAAAGGAGGTGGCATCGGGGAGGAAGGGTCTGCAGCCTGGTATGGTTCTGGAGCCAGGGATGATGCTGATCCCTGCTCATTCCTGATGCGCAACATCTTGGCAGGCGGCTCTAGGGGACCCAACTTCCTGCCAGTTAGGCTCAAGGCAAAATTATGGGTGTTTTAATTAATGTGATAACCTTTCCTGTCCTTCGACTTGGGTTATTTGCCTCCTGCTTGGCACAAGTGGTTCTCACACCCTCCTTCTCCCTCTTTTTACTACTGTTTATAGCAACTTCCAGTGCCCAGGGGGACTACAGGAAAGCTGGGGGGGACATACTTTTCCCCAGGGCAGGGAGTGACAGAACAAGGGGTGACGGGTTTAAACGGAAGGAGGGAGATTGAGATTGGGCATCAGGAAGGAATTCTTCCCAGAGAGGGTGGGGAGGCACTGGGACAGGTTGCCCAGAGAAGCTGTGGATGCCCCATCCCTGGAAGGGTCCAAGGCCAGGCTGGATGAGGCTTGGAGCAACCTGGTCTAGTGGAAGGTGTCCCTGCCCATGGCAGGGGGGGCGACTGCATGGGCTTTAAGGTCCCTTCCAACCCCAACCATCCTGTGATTCCATGATTTATTTCCTCAGGGGCTGAGCTAGTTTCAACCAGGATCACTCCCCTGCTCCTCGCTGCCTCTCCATGTGCTCTCAGGGGAAACTGAGGCACGGGGAAGGGGAGAGCTTGCAATGCATCACCTCATGGGGGTTGGACACCGATCCTGTTAGCAGTGGTTTGTTTGCCAGCAGCCAGGGAGCCAGGCTTCAAATGCCAGGATAACCCCGTATGCCCACATGTCCCTTTAAGACGGCAGCTGGGAAAGAGCATTTTGCCAGTAAAGGGCCTTAAGTCGAGACAGGGAGTAATTGCTGGGGAATTCAGAACTGGGAAGGAGCCTTCAGGGAGTTGGGGAGGAGGAGGAGATGGGCTGTGGGAGCGGGTGTTAGGGAGAAACAGGCTTGAAAAAAAGGGAGGGCAAGAGGGGGAAAGAAGGGAAACGGCAAGAAAAATGTACAGACCATGTTTGGCGAAGGAGTGATGTTTGTATAAGATCATGTTCTAAAAATACAGCCCGTTCCCACCATTGCTGAAGGAAGGGGAGCCCTCTGCCCCGGCTTCCCTCTCCCCCCATCTCACAGGGCCCCTAGCCTGGAGCAGGGGCCATGGCTGTGCTGAAGGGGCTCGCTGGGAAGCGGCAGGGCCTCGGACTCGGATTGCTTTGCTGTTGTGTTTGGGGTGGGTGTTTTCCAAGTACTGTGTCTGGTCTCCTTTTTTGGAGCTGGGAAGACTGTTGGAGGCGGAGGGTGAGCTTGGCCGGCCCGGCTCCGTCACTGCGTCCCCATGCTGCCATCCTTGGGAAACAAGGCTATAAGGACTCGGAGTGGGGGGTCTCCCTGGGGCTAGAAGCATCTGCAGGGACAATTTGAGCAGCTTAAGGGGGTGCCTTCATCCTTGGAGCTCAGTTTGGGGTGGACCTGCAGGAACGCCCATCCTAGGAGTGCGAACCCCATGCCATGGGATGCAGCAACAGAGGTACCCATCTGTTCTACACCCCAAAACGCTTTGTCCCGTGATGCTGCCCCTTAAAAGCACGATGATCCCCACAGGAGGGTGGCCTTGGGGCTGCCAGGCTGGAAGTCCCCCAGCATCCGCAGTGCTCAGGATAACGGGATGGGGACTGGGGTGCATGAGGGGCAAAGTCTTGCTGGCCACTTCCATAGGGATGAGAGGGTACAACAGGATTTGGCCTTTGTTTTAACCCAAGATGGGAATTGCCCAACTTTACCCCCACCCTGCTGCATTCGTAGTGACCGGCTGCAAAACCCTGTGATGCTCAGAGCAGCCAAAGCCAGAGCCTTGCGGGGATGGCTCCTTCCTCTCTCCCCTTTCTCTCCAGAGCTGGGAAAACCTCGCCAGCTGGTGGCCAGGGTGCCGGGACCCTGTGGTGGATCTGGAGCCTGGGGCCATCAGCCGGCCCGGCTCCCTGCATCTGGACCGAGCGAGGGAGACAGAGCCAGCCAGGCCATGAACAGGGCGATGCTGCTTGTGTCCCCGGCACTAGAGCAGGGAAAGGGATGTTGGGACATCATAGAAGGGCAGCGCTTTGGGCTCCAGCCCATCCCATCACATGCTGTGGTGGGTCCCTGCCTGGGGTTCCCATTTAACGCCCTCCAAAGTGAGGGATGGAGTAAAACCGCCAGCATCCTGGGGAAGCTGAGTCAATCACTTCCTCTTGCTGCCCTGCGGTATTTTTAACAGTGCCGTTATCCGGTGCTTGGGCGGTTGGTGTGTATTTCCTTACCCCACGGGGCTGCACCCAGGTGCTGACCCACCCAGGGACCTGCCTCCGCAGGATCTGGCTCATGATTTCCGGTGGGATGGAGCTGCAGTGGCGCGGAGGCTCTGGGATGCTTGGGCCAGTGCTCCTGATCCTGTACCCTGTATCCGTTCCCTCTTGTGGCCTTTTTCTGGGGGAGCTGCCAGTTGGGATTTACTTTCTCAGCCCCGTTCTTGTGGGGTGAATCCCAGCGTGAATCCCCTTTTATCTGCTGCTATCTGTGGGAAATCAAGCAAGAGGGTTTATTGCTCACCTTCCACGTGCTTATGGCAGGGGATGGGGTAGGTGGAGTGGATCTGTGGAGGAGAGACTGGGATGCACCTTGAGCTGAGGAGCAGAGGAAGGTGCTGGGGCTGGGGTGGTCAGAGGAGATGGTGTCCAGGGTGGCCCAGGGTCTGTTGCCATCTTGAACTGAGGGACTGAGCCTTTGGGAGGTGGTGTGGGATGTCTCCTGCAGGGTGGCTGGGGTTGCTCAGGGACCTCCTGGCCCCCATGTCCCCACTGATGTGTGCCCCTGCCCTGAGTCACATGTGCACTCCCTCTTCCCACTGCATTTCTGCAGTTGGAAAATCAGCTCCTGCTTTCCCAAACAGGAATGATGCTCAAAATCTGTTGCACCTGCTGCCCTTTGTGTTGCTAATGGAGCAGTAGGTCCTACAATAATACAGGCAGAGAGCAGGACAGGCAGACACCTAGCTGGCAGCGTCCTGGGCTCTGTCTTTGCTAACCCCCTCTCTCCTTTGGTTCCTCCGCAGGTGCCAGCGCCTGCCCGGGCAAAGGTGGCCGTGACGGCCGAGGGCAGCGAGCTCGTCCTGGTGCTGGAGAGGAACCAGTAAGTGCCCCAGTCGGGGCTGGGGAAGGGGCCTTGGGCATCTCTGGCATGGTCTCGCCTGGAGCTTTGGGGGATGGAGACATGCCAGGCGGAGCGTCAGCGGGACGGGAGGCTCCTGGGTGCCATTCTGCTGGTAGGGCTCATCCTGTGAGGTCTTTGGAGGTATGTCATGGTGGGCAGTGCTGACTCCTCGCAGTAGTTTGGAAACTCAGCTCCTGGGGTTGCCATACCTCCTGGAGGGATTTAAGAGACGTGAGGAGGATGAGGTGCTCAGGGACATGGGTTAGTGGTGGACTTAGCTGTGCTGGGTTAACGGTTGGACTGGATGGTCTTGAAGGTCTTTTCCAACCTAAGGATTCTGTGATTACGTGTCAGCCTGAGACCATTCCAGGGTGTGCTTGTCATGTAGCCTTGCTTGACCCTCCCTGGGCTCCTTCTTTGGCTTGACTTGGATGCAGGTGCCAGCAGCAGCTGTCCCCTGTGTCACTCACCCACCCTGGCATCCCCTTGTGCTGGAGCAAGGAGAGCAACCGTCTCCATCTCCTGCCCTGCTCTCCTTGCCCCTCTCCCTGTGACCTTGTGGCAATTGTCCCTGTGCTGGTTTGGGTCCCTCCTGGTGCCAGGTGTGGTGGGGCAGGGCAGAAAGCTCACCTCTGCGGGATGGGCTGCTGCTTACCAGCAGCCGTGGGAGCCTTGTGCCTGGCAGAATCCTGTTCCTGATGCTGTTTGGATACACAAGCAGCCACCACGGTGTCCCCCAAACAGCCTGGACAGGCAGCAGGCCACAGCAACCCACAGAGGAGCTTTTTGGTGAGCAGGAAGGAGAATGGGGGTGTTACCATGCACGCTGTGTTTTAGGACTGTGGGCAATGTGAGGGTTGGCAGTGGAGGCTGAAAGCTCACGTGCAAAGCTTTATCTTGTTTCTGGTGGTGCACCAGGTCTGGAGATGTTTGTGTGTCTTCTCATGACCCTGATCCTGGGTTGGTATCCCTTTGCCATGCTGGAGGGATGAGGGTGGCCAGGAGGGGTGAAGAGCATCCCTGATGGCCCGTGGGACCTGTGGCAGGGCTGGAGAAGTGTGGGGCATTGCAGGATGCTGGGGGCACAGTGAAACAGATGAGGGGGTTGGTGGCAGCAAAAAGAAGCTGAGCACCCAGGGCAGTCCATAGCACCCACCACCATCCACGGTATCCAGGATCATCCGTGGCACCCAGGACAATCTGTGGCATCCAGGACTTTCCATGACATCAAAGAGTATCCATGGCACTCAAGATAATCCATGTGGCATCCAGGATAGTACGTGGCATCCAAGAGCATCTGTGGCTCCCGGGACAGCCCATGGTACCCAGGACCACCCATGGCACTCAAGACAGTCTATGACAGCCAAGACATGGGACCCAAGAACTTCCATGGCACCCCGGATTATCCGTGGCACTGGAGAGGACATCCCAGTGGTCTGAGCTGTGCTGGGACTTGCTGCCCCCCTGGATGGGACTCACTGTTCCCCAGGCTGGGGAACTGGAATACCTTCCCAGTTCCCCCATTCCCCAGGCGTGGCATGGAGACTTTTTGCCTCTCCGCTGTCCTTGGCTGACTTGTCTCTGTCCCTGTCCACATCCTGGTCCAGCTGCCCTTCTGCCCCCTCACTGGCCAAGCTCTTGTCTTGCCAAGCTGCCCACAGGTCCCTCTCCAGGAACCAGGCTGAGCTCCTTTCTACTTTCCCTGCTCTAACTGGAGTTACTGGTGCCAGGCACCCACTCACAGGTGGGCTGTGAAGATGGAAATGTGCCCACTGTGACATTTTTGGGGCCAAATTGGTTGAAAAATAGAAACCAGGAGGCGGGAGGGCTATTCTGGGGCCGGCTGCTTGGTTTGTTTTCCTCTGCTGCAACATAAAACGTCTGGAACAGGGCCAAACCCCACCAATCAAGGGCCAAACTGCCAGCAGGGGCAAGCCCAGCCCTGCTTTGTCCTTCTCCGGGTGGCAGAGACCCCTGCATGCACCCTACCCTTCCCATGGGAGACTTGCCATCCCCAGGCTGGCTGCCAGCTTACGGTGGGGACGCCCATCACCCTGGCATCTGGGCAAGCTCACGCAGGTGCAGGTTTGGGCAGCTTGGGAAACCCATGTCCTCTTCTCTTCTTTCCCACCACCCATGGGGTTGTTTCGGCCTACATGTCCCCTCTCTGCTCCCCAGATCCCAGGCGAGTTGTGAGCTCGGCTCTGGCTCTTCCCGGTGGCCGGAAGCGATTTGTCAAGGACTGCGTCACAGGCAGCTCTGGGATAGGCTGTGGCGGGATGTGGCCAGCAGCTGGAGAGGGGAAGCTAGGGCGCGTGGGTTGAAGGCAGGGGGGTGCAGGCTTTGCCAAAAGCAGACGGAGCTTTCTCACCGTCAGCCCTGTCATTTTCAGGGAGCCCTCACCTTGTTGCTGGGCTGTTGCATCGGGACCATCGTCCTCGCTGTGCCGTGAGGAAGGTGGAGGGTCATGCCCAGGGCTGGATGGGGTGGCTGTGTTGGAGACCCCAATCCTCCCACATCCTCAGCTGGACCCCCAGTACTGTGTTGACCTCTTCTCCCAGAAGGATGCTTTCCCATGCTTCGGTAGTCCCAAGAGGGGTTTGGTCCCTGTGGATGTGTCATCCTGCCTGGCTGCTGGTCTGCTGGGGTGGCAGGTTGGCCCTGCCATGCCTGAGCCCTCTGGCAGGGGATGAGTGGGCACCTGGACTCCCCCCCATGCAGGTCCCCTGTCCCAGAGCAGCAGGACCCCAAAGCAGTATGGGCAGCCCCTTCCTTGCTGAGACAAAAAGGGGGATGTTGGACTGCAGTTCATGTCCCCGCCAGCTGTGGGCTGGTTGGGGGCCAGGCCTGACGCAGCGGTGATGGCCGTGCTGCCACTTCCGCTGTCTGAAGCCCTGCAAGGGGGGCTGTGAAGGGGGATGCGTGGATGAGGGGGGACATGTGGACGGTTCAGCCCTGCACGGCTGCCTGGGTCTGGGCATGGAGCCTCAGTGTGTCCCTGTGCCAGGGTGTCCGCAGCCCGGGTGTCCTCACCCCTCTCCCCTCTCCTCTCTCCACAGGCTGCTGGTGCCGGGCTACACCGAGACGCACTACACCATAGATGGGCGGCCCGTGACAGTGGCCCCCAACCACACGGTGGGTGCTGAGGGACAGGGGGGGCCCATCTCTTGTTTTCGGGGTGCCTGGGCACTTGGGGTG